CTTTGTCTCAGCGGAATTCAAGCCACTGACTCCCATACTTGATACTGCAGCCTCCAATGGGCCTTCTTGGAGCGGTTCTTTTCACCTCGAGGCTCATCCATATGGGAGCGTATGACGAAAGCATGGAGACAAACCAGTCCGCTTCTCGAACCAATCAGGCCTGTCAACGTGCACGAGGTGTTGAACACATAGCTCTGATGGACAAATCACTTTGTAAGATCAAACTTTGGATTCACGGAGAGTAGGGCCCGTGTTCTGGCCAGTCGCGGCCTCTTGAGTCTTCGAGAGTTGTTCGAAGAAGGTAGCATAACTCCTCGTCCTTGGGCGTACTTACAACAAAAGTTTGGTCTGTGGGCCACCGAATAGGTGTTTATTCAAGAATTTCATACCCGGATATCTCAGACCTGGATTGACACGTACAACCGCACCGCTTGGCAGGCTGTTGAGTCTAAATGGCTAGGGGTGCTCCACGACCACCTAGCGACGAAGCCTACTTTCATCTTTCAGGCAGCGAACAACTTTCGAGAATAACTGATACGATCTTGCCGGCTAGGTAGCCAAGGTTGTACCTAGGGACGCGCTCTAGACTCATATTGGCGGTCTAAACACCAATACCAACAGAGGAAGTCTATAGAGGTGTACGTTAACGCATTTGTGTCATTCTGATTCCGAGCAACACTATGAAACGAGCAGGTCGGATGTATTACTTGGCGCCGTTGTGCAGACTGGTATTCAACTCAGGTCGTTGGTGTTGGCGAGGTGACGATCAATTCTACACTTACACGGCTCAGAAGGGCCGCATACTTCATCAATCGTGAATTCATCTCTCCTGCACCATCCATGAAAAATGGAACGGAGTGTTACCAACGTCACTCACGTTGGAAGGAAGTGTGGACAGGCACACGGCCGCGAAAAGAAGCAACATTTTTGTGGAATATTTATCATCGGGCCGTCGTAGTGAACCAGTGGCGCCATCAAAACTTTGCAAAAACATCCGATATATGTCTTTTTTGTGAGATAGGAGAACCCGAATCAATATTGCATTGCTTCTTGAACTGTAGAATGGTAGGACATGCTTGGACCTTTGCAATGTCAGTGTTTCATGCCGCTGCAGGAACTCCAATTTTGAGCATGCCATGACGTCCACTCTCTTGGGAGCAATGTGTGTTCGGTAAGCCGCTTCCGCTTTATCTCCAGCAAGTGTCCAGGTCCTGAACGTTCATCCGGGGCGCGGTGCTTTGGATCTTGTGGATCCAGAGGAATCAGTTCGTCTTCCACAACCACATATGGCCACCAGCGCTCTTGGAACAACGAATATGGGACGCGGTAATTGACTTGGGTCGGATGGCAGCAGCTAAGATCGATTGGTGCGAGAGACATCAACCACAGTATGTGCCACATGCAATCAGGGAGCTCAATGTCATATGGAACCATGCAGGGGTTTTTTTTTCTCGAAGGGGTGACAAGGTGGTGTGGAACTACGAGCGGCCACCTCTTGCCATTTTTATCTCTAGGTAATCAGGTTGTTCATAGGCTTTTTAGGTAGAAAATCAAAAAATGGGTATTGCCAGCATACCCCGGTGTGTTCGGCTTGCGGCGGTGTTTTGTTCGTCTTTGCAGTGGAATAAAGTCACCATTTGCTTCACAAAAAAAAAAACAAACTACAATAGTCATTGACCAGAAGATACTAGTCCCCAAACATCACTTTGGCTCACATACAATTGACTTCTCAAAATAAGATACTTTGCTCATGGAACTCATGTTGTGGTAAGAAAATGAAACAGTATTGATATCAATGTTGACGTTGGCATCAATATGATGACTCAAATGATCAAATTATTCCTAAGAATTTGTGAGTGTTAAAAATCTGTCATTGATTATTATATTTTTACGCAACGTCCAAACTGGTGGAGCTGTATACGCTGTATACTCTGTGCTATGTATACTTAGTGCTCAATTTAATGCACGGCAAACGACAATATTTCTTGCATATGCAGGCAACTTTTCAGGGGACCTATGTGACTGCTCTAAGGCCCTAAAGCGTCTGAGTTGTCATACACAAGCTCAGTATACCTCCGCAGTCGGCGGAATTTGCGCAGTACTTACATCTCTCCACATACTCAATATAATAAGACAGGGGTCCAAGTAAAAAAGAGAAAGGGATGGTAAGAAATGTTTGACTCAACTTTCTGGAGTGTTTCTGGAGGCCAACTCCAAAAAGCTCATGGAAACATGTCAATTCAAGTCAAAGCACTCCATTGACACCCCAAATATGGAATTTTCCCTGGTAGCGCGCAAGGTAGCTCTAAGACCCATTGGACAGAGGATATGGTATGAAACTCCACGCCAAAGTCCTGGTGAAGTTCAGGTCAAAGCGAGGACAAGACAACAGCAGATTTCAGTCTTAATGAAACGATGATGAGCTTCCAATAAGCACCTTTGCGGCAATTGAAAGGTCCCCGGACCAAGTAGGGCGAGAATGGTTTTAGACAGGTGCGAATTGAATCGCCTCCACGAGACCACCAGAAAGAGAGAATGGAGTTGTTATGGCATTTTCTGTACCGGCTCCGTTGAGCCCCTGTGCCCTGCACTACAGGCACCGGATCGGTACCCTCTTTATGAAGAGCCAATGCTTCCCTGATGACTGGATATTGCTCCTTCTGCAAGGCTGGCTCATCTCTTCCCCGGAAGCAAGCCTGTCCAGTTCAGGCCCCTTTCAGACCCACGAGGTCAGTCGGTTCTGAACATTGCATTGTGGGCATAGACAGGAGATGAAGCAGTGCGGGTGGGCACGAGATCTACCTCTGCACCGCCTTTTACCTTTTGGTGGAGAAGGCGCTGCTCGAGAGGAATGTATGTATGCCCTTTACCAAACATCTGTAGCTGGGCACGATTTGGAGTGAATCGGGTTCCACTCAGAAAAGGGGCACGGATGCGTTGCTGATCGGGATAAGTCAAAATGGTACCGAGTGTACGGTGAATACGGACGGGTGCCTAAAGTTGTAGATTTCTCGTTTGAAACGGTTGCGGGTAGAGGAAGAATGTGACACGACAGAATGCGAATCCCTCTTCCCAATGCCAGGATTTCATTATCATGCCGGGTAATGAAATCCTCTCATGGCAAGGACCAGGAGTTTTTAAGGGTCCATACCCAGGAAATTGATTTCCATGTTCGCTTGTCTGGAAGATTCGCGGGTTTTACGTTCTCCTGATAACAGTTCAGGCCTAAACTGCCACAAATCCTCCTACAATATTTGGGGCCCCTCGTATCGTCCATGTATGTGCAACCGCCGACATTGTTTGACTCTTCTCCACTTCCCGAATATTGAAATGCACTAGAACTAGAACACAACCACAAAGAGACATATTTTAGGGTTTCATAAACTACAGAAGAACACAAAGACAGACATGAGGAAGACAAGGAAGAGATGAAATAAGACGAGAGAACCTCGGAACTACCCTCATCCCGCAGTCAGATAGGGAGGAGAGATAGAGAGGAAATATAGGACCTGGTTGTCAGTCGTTAAAAGCTGTGGCGTAAGGAAAGGTGTGACAAACATGATCCATACGTTAGTTATTTAATACAAGTATCATAAGCCTTCGGAAACAATTCTGAACAACGATATATTGTAGGAAGATGTGTTTTGTTATTCTAGTATTATTATTATTATTATATTTTGTAGTGGAGGAATTTTGTTTGTGTAATCGAGAGTGCCTTACATTTAGTGTAAGAGTAAATTTTCAATGAGAAAGCAGTGCAAAATTTTTTACCGAGCTATAAGGTGATAAGCATAAGTATACTCATCACCTTATGCTATTTTTTTTGTTTCAATACATCCTGCTATCGTTTGGATTGAACAATGCTTCTATCACTCTGTGTATCCTTAAGAGGGACTTAGTCTAAGATAAATTAGATGAAAACAAGTTTTGTACTAGGATGACATTTTTTCAACTCTTGAAAAAATTGACCAACACCTGAAATATGTGATCCGGCGTTTGGATTAGTTGCATGGTCACAAGTCATATCTCAAGAGAAACAAGTGCTCATTTGAGTAATGGCTTCTTGAGTTCATGGGCTCCATGATTCATCAACAGGGCTACATGCTAATTTGGCCAAACAGAAAACTTACTTAGAGTGGTACATTCCATACTCAATATCTGTACTAATGTCTTTCGGGGACTACTTCAGCTCATTTTCTTTTTTTGCAATTTCATATCGAGCTATTCACAAATCATACCCGTTTCGTATGATCTACACAAGGGCAAGATACCTTGGACACACTAGGACGGAAAATTATTAAGAGCGCCTTTTAAGACACACTTTGACCCATTAGGATGTGAGAGTAGGGAGTGAGCCCAGGGGCTCCCCAGTTTTTTCACATCTTAGGGCAAGGTCCAGGAACCTTCGTCCATCCGAGCATGAGGCAGAGGCGAACTTAGCCAGGCTTGAACCGGACGAGGAGAATGGCAGCAGCATGTACACGTTCCTTTTGACCTTGGCCTGGGGTCGGTTCCCAGTGAAGGTTCCGAGAAAGGAGAATTTAACTGATACAGTTTGTTGCATAAGCTGTCGACGGTTCTCACCTCACGTGTTGCAAACCAAATTCTAGTCTTTCGGGGCACAAACTATTTGAGGTTCATACCTATACATGTAGACATAACCTCCTCCCTAGCACGCGCGCGCGTGCTTGTCGTTTTCTCTCATTGACGCCGGTCTCTAGGTATTGTCAAGAGAGTATGCACATAAGAGTTGTTCCAGTTTTCAAAATATTGTGCTTTTATTGACCATTTCTCAAAGCTCTTTATGCGGCCTCCGAGAAATTGCAGAGAGTTTGAAATTCAAGCAGAAAGCTTGTAAGAAGGTCTCAGTGATCATCGGGTGGTAGATCTCTACAATGGGATCTGACAAAAACGACTCTCGAACCAAGACCGAGCCTATGAGCAGATGAAATTTCCAGCTATTTCAAAAGATCGCATTCATAAGTGAGCACCGCAGAAGCTGCTGTTGAAAAGCTTTCCAGAAAGAGAGTTCACAGGAAAGGAGATGTCTTGACAAGCAACCCCGAAGTGGGGGTGTAAATGTTAATTGAAGTAAATTATGCACAAATTGTCAACCTTGAAGGTGACAGGAAACTCACGAGGACAAAAAGTTTACAAGAGCTTTTTCTCTAAACAGAAAATCGTCTACTGAGCTCTTGCTGTCTGTACAAAGTCTGTTCAGTCTCTTAGTTTCTCTAGAAGGTCCCTTGCACACGAAATTTGCGTTCGATGCTCGACACCGGTTGTTGTTCTGCAACCTGTAAATCGCCCGGACGTTCTTCCATGCGACCCGTCAGTAGTATACATGATGATCTCAGACCAGGACTACTGATCATCGAACAAATGCTCGTGATAAAGCAAGAGCACGCGGTCTTCCTGACAGCACTTGTTCAATCTCTAATCTAAATGTATTAATGTATTCCCTGCAACCGGCAACATAACTCCTCGTCAGTGAAACTGAAGAATCCAGTCATTGTATGGTGTCAGCCCAAAGAATCCACAATCATCATCCATCGTGAGCATGAATTTGCCAACCAAATTCAGCAGCTTTTACTGTTCAGAAGATTTCAGACACGGGCATGCACCACAGAGACAAGTGACCTGGAAATAGCAAGTATTCAAAGGTTGCAGATTAGCTACGAGATTGTCCCTTGAGTCGACTCTTGGCAATTGAGTCAAGAATATAAGTCTCGACAAAGTTTGGTACGACGTGATGAGGCGGTAATGAACTTACGAAAAGCAACGGCTTCACTGACAGCTATTACTTACTTCACACAGCCCGCCTGAAGCAACCTAGTGGTCACAATCGGGAACTCAGAAGGGGTACTTTCCATTTCAATTTGGGGATAGCGGCTATTGCATGTGAGGAGGGACTGGGTGCAGGTGTCAGGCAGATTTGTCTTGAGGATTTACAGGTTGCATAGAGGCTCTAGGCATCAATTCTTCATCTCCCAGAAGACCTTAGACTCGAACATTGAAACGGGTGTGAGGGTGCGACTATGAAGGAAAACTGGAGACTATTACTACTCCGGTAAACAGCAATTCATGCACCCTGCCTCTATTGAACGAAAAGAAGTTTTCTTCTCTACTGTCGCTCGATGATTTCTTCGATTATTTTCAGAGAGCGATTTCAGGAAAAGAACGATAACGTATGGTGCCCTCGTGACTCGAACATATCTGCTGCAGAGGAGAAAGTAAATCCTCCTGCGCCGCAAGCCGCTCAGTCATAGTCAGGGAACACCTCGGCTGCTTCACCTCAGGTCTACGCACCAGAGCTAAATCAGCAACTATGGGGTTACAGACTGTCAGAATCTACTCGAGCGAGCTGTAGTTCTGGAAAGTCACAAACGCCTCATCGTTTCGACTGGAGAGGACGCGTACGTTGGAAAGTCTCGGTCTTGTAGAAACTGGCTGTGGAGGCTGAGGCAATCCGGGGAGACGATCACATCTAACTAGTGCGCATTAGTACTTGACAACCTCAAGCTCCGAGCCGAAAGCTACAAAGTTAGAGGCGATTGCATGCGGTGCGAGATCTGCAGTCAGTGGAAAAGCCTTTTCTTTGAGCAGACTGCTCACCTTAACATGATGAACGCCAGACGGAAGCAGAAAAGACCCAGAATCACGAAATGATCCATATCTGCAGCAATCATAATCGCCAGATGAGAAACAGAAAATCGTTTTCGACTGCTGTGAAATGAGGTTTCTCACAATGCTTTGGGCATCACGCAGGCGCAAGTCCACCAGCTGAGGATAGTCAGAAAGAAGCATGCCAAAACATACTGGCTGGATCATTAGAAACAGTTCTGCCGGGCTCACCTGAGGGCGTTTCATGGGACTTCAAGCTGTCAGCGAACTTGGAACCACACCAAAAGCGGAGTGAACTCAAACGAATCCGCAAGTCCAATCGAAGATGCGTTCAAGGACACATTCGACTCTCAGCGTTCGCGATGGAAAGAACTTAACTGTCAACTGTAATGTCAATTGCATGAGAAAGATCGCTTGCACGATGATTGGACCAGACGAAGGGTCTCTTCACAGACGAGACAAGAGTTCAAGATGATTGGACTTCTCTCGGGCCTCGGTGTGCTCTCGCTTCACTCTAGATAGGAAATACGTCTTCAATCAGAGAAGGGAGAGGGAGAGAGCAAGATGGAAGAGCTGCGCAACCCACGCGTGATTGAAACACGATGATTGAAGGTCCAGCTTAATATGCTGGTATAGGAGGAAGGAAACCTGGACGAATGAAAGGCTAAAGGTTAAAGGAGTTGGTTGAGGTGGAACGGGGAAGAGCAGAGAGGACTCGAGACCGTACTAACGTACAAACAAAGAAGGCAGTGATAGAGGCCTGAGCAAGCAAAAATTTAACGGACAGGTGGATTGGTTTTATTACGAAACTCGGCTAGAATGCCTTAGTCACATAGGTAAGAAGAGACTTGCCGCAGCCTCATCGTTCTGGAAAGGGAAGGGAGAGGTAGACCAGTCCGATTGCCATGTTTTGGTAGACTTTCTTGTAGGAAACGAAAAGCAATCAAGGAGAATGGAAGAGCGTGGGCTCCAACTCTCTTTCGCTTAAAATCTTCTGATTTCGAAGCAGTAGAGGAAGAAGAATCAGCCGCAGCAGAGGAGTAGAGCAGTGAAAGGCACGAGCTTCACAGGTGGGGCAAGGTACATGCAAAAAAGGTGGACTAAGGTAAGGTATGGTAAGGTGGGTTGGAGGGGTGGAGGGGTGGCTGAGGCAGCAAGTATTACCACCACAGAGTGTACCTCTAGCACTAGCAGTAACTGGGTGCTTTCACCATCATGATGACCCCTCGCACCAGACCATAGAGGGGCGAGGGGGGCAGGATAGATGACCTGATTGATACGGCGCAAACCAAGGACGTCCTTCGGGGTACAGATGATGCTGAATAAAAGCAGAAGGACGGTGGGTCTCCCATCCGACCCTGTCTACCTGATCACATAGTTCCAGACACGGCCTTCTTTTGCTCGAATTTTGTAATTAAATCGCCTGTCCGCTTGCTACCGCACGATCCGTATTCTCCTCTCCTTATATCGTACATGGGGATGGAGGTGCCCTCGAAGGGCTAATTGTCGGCCCCACTAGACGCTCGTCGGAAAGCCGGACATGTTGTTAGGAGCGTACATTTGGCACACTTGACAGAGAGCTTTCGCTTTTACCACGAGCCACATCGTCTCTCTGCCCGAATATCAATCACTTTCGACCTGACTGCCTGAAGGAAGGGGACGAAGTATACAGCAAAAAGGATGAGATATTACCACTTCAAGACAAACGAAACGGTTAACGTGGGGTTACCCGCGGTAGAATTGGAACGGGTTTTGTGTTTAGTAGCAGATAATATGTCTACCTGTGCAAGTCAATTGATGTAAAACGCAACAAAAGTTAGTAATCATTTATTGCAATAATTCTCTTGTAGACATCACTGGCTGCGGATCTCTTGCAGAGCAATAGTTACACGACAAAACAAAGAAGAGTTACAGTCTATGACTCATATGCTGTCACACATTTGTCCAAAAGGGTTAATGTATCCAAAACGAGTTACAGATGGAATAGTTTCAGTTAATCGAGGCAATAAATAATCATGTTGTTTAGTAATTAATTTCAATACATATGAATTGTAGTGTATAAATACCAATTTAAGTGTATAAATGGTAAATTCAAGTGTATACATATGTTACATATTTGTTTTGTGTGATAAATGTTTATCTTCTTTCTTCTGTCATATTAATGATAAAGATACAATGACACACCTAACATGTTGTAGGCTGCATCTAAACAAGTAAATTTATAAAATTATAAGTGTTAACTTATTTACTGGCTTTAACCCCGCTATTAGATTCTTCCGCCATTATCTAGATTTCCTGACAGATATATTTCATGAGAAGGAGCGAGGCTGCCGAGCAATTCGAGAGAAATCAATATTCGTTTCCCCTTGACCAGACCAACACAAGATCCTCGGTTCCAATCAACATTTGAAGGGCTCTGGGCCTTACAACGAGGTAGTCCTTTCTTTTGTGGAATTGCGGTGATGTATAGTTCTTCCGCAAAATCATTGCATTGCCCATCTCGTGCATAGCGAAGGGTTTGTTCAGTGCATGTGCTTTTCGAACAAGTCCGGCCCAACAATAACCGAGTCAAATCCGTTTCGGTGACTACCACTTTGCTGCAAATAAATGCGCCAACTTCCGATCCAACTTTGAGAACGGCCACAGGCGACATCACTGCCAGTATTGCACTGGGCGGAATGGAAAAGGCCACAAACCATGCAAACAATAAGAGCGAATTAGGGAGTAATATGGAAAAAAGGATGGGAAGACGCAGACGATAGGAGCCACGAACAACTTACGGACAAATCTTCGGTTGATGATTTTAAGCGGGAATAAAACATTGGACACTATCGGAGCAGGGAAGAAGGGAAATAATAAAAGATTGGGGCTTCACATGGCGTAGATCATATCCATGTGCTCGTGCCTCAAGCCACGTCACTTTATTTAAGCATAAAGAAGCTCGTAAGCAAAGTTCCGCATCTTCTCCACATTTTAGGACCAAGTGTCTCCACCAGTGAAGCGGATACATGTGCGGAACAACCAACTGCAACCTTCCGAGGCTTCTTCTTGGCGTTCTAGCACAAGTACACAAATCCCCGCCTTCGTTTTGGTCAAGCCAAGCGAATGAAACAGCAACCCCTGCAATTAGCCGGACAACTCATGTCCAAGAAGCAACGTAGTGTTGTCTCATCCAGTTTCTCACCTTCCCGTATTTCCACCACCTCTGTTCTCACTGTCCAGCGAAAATCTGGCCTCACTTCCTCGTAGTCATGTAAAGCCAAGTCATTCAGCACCAACATTCACGCAAGATAATAACCGGATCTAAACCAGGATGACGATATTCTCCTGTTTTGATCCCTGCCCTTGTAGCAACTGATGGTCTCTCCAGTAGTTCACTCTAACTGCCCGAGTCAAGCTTCTTTGTTGCTCGTTTCCGTAAAACTGCCCAATCCCCATGGACCTTATTATCCAAACAGACTAAAGATTATTGATATTCAGTCTACCTTACTGTTCTTTTCCCAACAGGTTGGAAGCATGTGCGTCATACCGTCCTACTGTGGTACAGTAGTACGGTAACATTGTACATGTGCGCATCCTATGTTCCCGTCTTCTGACCACCTTCGAGCACCTACCTACTAACTGAGACCTATCATGATTCACGAATGACCATGACAGCTCGTTCCGTCTCATCATCCGATCTTCTGGTATTTACAACTAACATCGCACTCGAGCTTTGGTTTCAGCTGCGATAGAACCGACCAACTTTTGGGTACTTGTGATTCGGAGGCTTGCTATACTTTTTCGATGATATTTCAAGGAGAATTATCATTGCCTGGAAGGCTCCCCTACAAAGTAGAGGTATTTGTAGGACAGGTAGAAAAATTTGTTTGAAAATTTTATATTCAGTTTTACCCAAATTGTTGAAGGTAACGTCGAAGAAGTCCATGGTTTCGGATGGCGATTGCGTTTCAAGTTTTGATGTCCAAGTGCCTACCCAGGTCCTTACCAAGATTAAAGTTGGAGAGAACACTGTGATCCTTGCTACGCGGTTGCAAGCAGCGACTTCAACCATGTACGACTGACTTGATGGGCTCTTCTCATATGTTCTTTTACTGTCTCCTCGCTTTTCAGAAAGTACCTGTCTTTAATGGATCCATTGGCTACGATAGACGAACTCCTGTAAAGCAAGCACTTTCAGATACTTTCCAGAGATATATTGTACTATGAATTCTTGCTCTATACTGTAGACTACTGTGGAATTTTGTTACCAGAAAACAACAGAAATGAACATTACGATTCTCTTGGAGATTGCAAATCTAGGATAATGTCGATAATTTTGCACTGAACTTGGTGCGAATTCAGGCGTTCTGACCATTCAGAAACATAATCTTAGATTGATACGTAATGAATAAGATTCGGGGTGTAATTGAACATATGTGAAATGGAATAGAGTCGAAAGAAGAGTCAAAAGTGTTCTGGCATGCAGAGCTTTCTTCCATAACATGCAAATATGCAATACAGACAACATACATTAGAGGGCGGCATAACACTTCACATAACTCCCGAAAGGAAAAACTTCTCCACCATACTCTGATCACCTTGTGCAGGATTGGAAGGAAACGAGTGTGAAAATTGCATTCGAACTTTAGATGACTCAGAGATGTTGAAGCATGGTCTGTTGCACCAGGGAACTACTAATGAAAAAAATCGTGATTTCTAACCCTGTATCTATATCATCTCCTTATTGCCTGCGAAGCGCTGAACAGACAGTGAAGACAGGTTGTGGAGAACTGTCAAAGCAGTGTCGGACCCACTCCAACTTCAGTCCACCATGTGTAGTACATGTTACTTGCATCCTGCCCAGAAACTGACCCCTTGTAGAGTTCACAGCCTGCCTGAAATCCTACAATCAGGGTATAAGATGAAGAATTTTGTTTTATTTCTACATGCAGTAATTAAACTGTATTACATGTAGAGTTATATTCTATAATTATTCTATAATCTATTCACGTATCGGTTAATTCTTAATACACACAATTCATGTTAGTTTGATTAACTAATTTTTAATTGACTGAAGTGAATCAATATATTATTTTATTCGTTTATGACTTAATTTTAGTTAGTTCAATTCTGGTTAATCATAATTAGATTTCAAAAAAATTGTAATAGAACTGAGTGAAGCTCTCCACTTTACTATCGTAATATTCAATAAAAGTAACAATGTGTTCCCTAGGAGCATCCTCATTTAAGTGAACTATGTATTTAATTTCTCTATTCTATTTAGGATGATTGCTAGTGTGCATTAGGTAAACAATTTATATCAAAGCCCAAGATGTACTAGTGATAAGGATGATTGAGAGGTTCTTTAAAGGATTTTGTAGTGCTGACGGTCAACGTGAAGAAAAAGTAGAGATAAAATACATGCTTAAGGTACAAGCAATCAACAAGACAAGCTTCCGCGTGAATCGACAAGCAAGTAACTTGGCAAACAAGCAGAACTTCCAAAGTGAAATTGTCTCTGATCAACACATTTGTGATGCACATACTTGTGATCAACATATTTTTGAAGATGATTGATTTTTGATGTTTGAATGAGAGATTTTTCACCCTCTTGCTCATCAATACTTTGCAAGTCAAACGATGTCTTCTCTTTTGAAAAAGTTTCATTGGTTGCGGATTTGAACAATTCTTGTATATGTAAAGATGATTTGCTTTGAATGATTATTGTTCTCATACTGCATTATTTTCTGCTCATCATGTTGAAATTTTAACCTTATGATGTAAATATATGTACAAACTAAATGTAAATTCTACACATACAACATATAAAGCCTGGACAAACAAGATACATGATATACTTATACCCATTAGTCTTCTGCCAAAACACGAATGTCTTGGAAATTCTAAGTTTGTGTCTAAAAAAACACTCTCATGCAGAGTGATAAACTAATATTATTAACATTTACTAAAAAAGCACAAATTTTAGCTAAGAAAGTCTGATTTTAACTTATAAAAATATTTCCTTTCATTAATCATAT